ATAACACATTACAACTTAACACCCCCTAGAATGCCTGTACTTTTTATAAGCGCATCCCTTCCCCCCCAGGGGGCAATCTTTCCGCTATTTTTTATATCTAAACATTTTAACCTACACTAACATAACTTCTACAAATGCCTCTACCAATAATCTCATTACACATTAAGATTTTCGTACATTCCGAACTAAAAATCTACTCGTCGTCAGACTCCGGCTCCTCGCAGTTGTTGCCGAAGAAGCCGTTGGCGATGATCTCGTCATCGACGTCGACCTCGTGGGTCAGCTGGCTCCACTTGTGCGCCATGGCAAGGTTGTCCCCACTGCCATCAAGCGCGTTGCTGATGCCGCAGGTGAGGAAAGCCTTCTTGATAAGCTCACGTTGCACGGCCTTCCAAGCCCGTAAGATCCACCTGAGCACCACCGCAGGGGGCGGCTTCTTGATGTTCCCTGCACCACAAGTCAGTGGGGGCGATGGTGTTAGAACCAAATACGGGCGATAGGAACCAGCTCTCTAACCATCAACGGTGGGGTTCTTACCTGCAGGCGTCAGCCGCTCTTGGCCCTCCTCTTCAAACCAGGTCTGGTACTGCTGGCGGATAGAAGCTTTGAAGGACTTGTTGATCGTGACGTCAAGAGGCTGTACCTCCGCCGTACAGCCCGACGGAATCACCGCCAGAACGATGTCGAGGTCGACAAACTTCTGCTTTACTTCGTCGGTGAGATGTCCGCGGTAAGAGTCGAGGACGACCATGGCGCTCCTCGCCTGCCTGCCGAACCGAGGCCGGATGAAGGGCTTGACGGCGGTCAGCGTCCATCCAGCCGTTCGGGTGCACCGCCACGACGACATCTGCAATGTCACAAACGGTAAAGAAACAGGCGCTAGTATGACGACAGAAAATTCAAACATTAAGAACCACCGTGTAATCTTACCGGGCGGGAAGTCACCTTTAGGGGCGTCTTTCGCTTGAAAAAGACCCACGGCTTGAGCTTCTCGCCGTCGGCCGTGCACGCCAGCATCACGGTCACACATTCCTTCTGGTACATCCCGCTCCTGATGGGCACTGAGCGAACGCCCGTCTCGTCCACAGTAGTCGTGGCGGGCATCTTCAGCCACATCGGCGTTTGGTCGGCGTTGATAATGTAGCGGGTTTCGATGCCGCGCTCACGCCGCTTGTCCCGAACGTACTGCCAGAAAGCCTGGCACAGCTCCGCGACATTGGCGCACACACAGACAGTGTTAAGAGACAGCGGTTATTCAGTACCGTTGATTGAAAATCAAAACAAGCACAGAGTACAGGAAGATTTTAATCGTACGCTCGGCGGTTTTCTGCGCAATCCTCGTCTTCATGCGCACGCTCAGATTCCACCATTTCCGAAACCGCTCTGACCACCACTGGCTGCCCTTCCACTTCACGTCGGGGAATAGAACCTTCATGAACTCCTTGGACCACTCGTGCAGGCAACCGATGGAGACGGCCGTTCCTTTGCGGCGCCACTCGAGGAGCTTCGCGTAGACTTTCAGCTCCATCGGCCTGTACCACGATGTTCTCCCACGCCCGTGCATCCGCTTCCGTGCTGAGTGCGCTTCCTTGAGCGTGGTGGCAGCTTTCTTCCACTCCGCAAGACATTTGCGGTGGATTCCAGACTTGCGAGACAACGACCGCAGCGACATTGCCACATCCATGCGCCCAATCCACTGCAGCTTCTCCTGCGCGGTATAAGCGTTACGCTTATGCTGGGAGGGCTTGTGCCTGGGAGAGGGGGGGCGGGCATCACGGTTCTCAGAAGAGGGGTGGGGCCGCTTGCGGTTAACAGGAGGAAACGAAGGAATTGGAAGCTTCTCGGGAAGTCTGTCGGGCGACCAATACTCCACACCGTCGTCGTCCTCGCCGCCCGGGGCACCCTCAAGAAACACATCTGCCGCGGTGCCGGCCTCGGCGCCAGTGTCGGTTCCAGTGTCGGTGCCGGCCTCGGTGCCAGCCTCCGTGTCGGGCACATCGTCGTCAGCGCCCATATTAGATTCGTCCCAGGCACAATTTTGCGGCTGGCCCCATCGTGGTGCCGGCGGCGGAGCTCGAACGTAGACGTCAGGGGCTTGTTGCTGTTAGGTTCAGACAGGTACTCGTCGAACGCCGACAGGTGAAGGAGCGTCAGCACAGGAGGATTCGATGGGCCTGCAAACACAGGGGGACTTGGAGGAGCAGGTGGAGCTGGAGGTGCAGGAGGATATGGAGGAGATAGAGGCGGCGGCGCAGGAGGCTGTGGTGGCTCTGGGGGCGATGGTGGGATACGGGTATACCAGCCGTCAGCGTCGACACGGTACGCGGGCCTAGGTTTCTTCTTAAAACGGAAGTGGGTGCCAGTGAATTCCGCCATGGCTTCCGCAGCCTGGCGAGCGAAACATGCTAAACTGAATAAGGGCAAGCAAGAAATGAGAAGAAATGGATTCCAGACGGGACCCCTGCGGGGAAGCGGCTCGCCGTCCTCGTCAATGATAGACGGGTACCCCCACAGCCTGAACCGGTAGAGGAGGGAAATGGGCGGCACACATGCTGCGGTGGTAGGGCATATTCGATCCCTTCTACAGGGATCGGATGAGCTGTCCCTGCCTAGCAACGCATGACGCTCTACGGGATTGGGCCGCACGGCAGCTTCCGAGTCAGCGTTGGCAGATGCGTTGCTCCGGGACAGGATTTGTGCGGCGGGAAATCAAGTCGTTGCTGTTTTCGCCTGGATTTCATGCACGAAACCGACGTGAACGTTTCACGGGCGTGTTCGCCTTAATGAGAGCTTCGATTTCGTACCCTTAAACACAAAATCCATTTTTTTTTCCATTTCTTAAGCGCATGCGCTTATGCCCCAATTTCCTCAATTATAAGCGCACCCCCTAAAAAAATCGATTTTATTATAAGCGCGTATAATTGCGCTACTATCCGGGGGGATACGGTACAGTGTAACACCCACTTTGAGGGCGTGCCAGCTCGTGCTGACTGGACGCGCAGGATGTGAGAGGTCTTCAAAAGTCAACCTAAATGAAAATGGTATGTGGCCTCGCTGCAAAACTGAATTCGTGACCGTTTTTATGAAGACTTAAAAATAAAATTACACATGCGCATTCAATAGGCTTGCGCTTACATCCGGGGCCATACGGTAACCGAGGGCCAACATCAACCAGGCTTAGCTGCAGACAGAACCTGTGGTGGACACCAGACGGAAGGGCCTTGGTGGAGATGTCTGCAATGTTGGCCTCTGACTCAACGAAGTCCAAGCGTGCCTGGCCGCGTCGCTGCAACTCTCGTAGGAGAAAGTACCTCACGTCGATGTGCTTCACTCTGCTGTCTAGTCCAGGCTCTCGAAAAAAGATGATCATGGCCTTGTTGTCAGCGAACAAGGTCGGTGCAGAGCGAGGCCGCTCACCAAGGTCGGTAAGTAAGAAAGTCAACCTGCGAAGCTCCTGGGAAGCCATGGCACCGGCATAGATCTCTGCCTCAGCACTAGACGAAGCCACGGATGACGACCCTGTGGACCTCCACGACACAGCTCCAGCGCCCAAGCTGAAGCAGTACCCCTGAGTAGACCACCGAGTTTCAACGTCGTCGGCGTAGGAAGAGTCGCACTGACCGGTGAGAACAACTCGCTGTCTCCCTCCGTGATGTAGTCGCCAAGTACTTCGCCACCCTCATAGCAGCTGTTCAGTGAACAGGATGGTGTCTCCCAGTCGCAAAAAAGCGAGAGAGGACACCGAGAAGAAAGGCGAGGTCCGGACGAGTACAAGTCATCAGGTACATGAGGCTACCCACAAGCTCTGCGCAGGGACCACTAGACTCAAAAGGCTCGTCGGGAAAAGGGCCGGTGGGTCTGTGGTCAACGGCAAGAGGAGTAGGCTGTGTGGTGGTGTGCTGAAGTCCAAACGCTAAAGGACCTGCTGCACCATGTGTGATTGTGAGAGTGTAATGGTGCGAGCGGCTCTGTCCCTGGTGATCTGCAAGCCAAGGTAGCGGCGCAGCTCACCTAGGTCAGACAGGGCGACCCTGTCTACTGTAGCAAAGACCAAGTCATTGACGTAGACGAGGACAGAGAAAGGTGTGGGCCCAGACGCGACGAACGAACAGTGACGGGTCGGCGGACGAAGGACGAAACCCGAGGGCAGCAAGAGTGGTGCGCAGCGTGTCGTGCCACTCACGAGGCGCCTGGCGGAGACCGTAGACTGGTCGCCTCAGGCTCCACTGGGTCCCAGGCGGGAAAGTGCCAGTGAATCTGGGAGGACGGCGCAGCCAGATCTCCTCGTGCAGGTGCCCTGGAGAAAGGCGGTGGAGAAGTCGAGGGAGTGCAGCTCGTAGTCTCGCTGTGCTGCAACGTGAAGTAACACCCGAAGAGTGGTCATCTACGGGGTCGGTGCGAAGGTCTGAAAGAAGTCAACTCCCTCGCGCTGACTGAAGCCTCTAGCCACGTAGCGCGCCTTGAAGACTGGCGGTGATCCAGGCGGCCGCTTCACCTTGAAGAGCCACATGCCATCGACTACGTTCGCCCCAGGCAGGGGAACTGCGTCGACGTAAGTGCCTGTGGATCTCCAAGACGCCATCTCTGACTCCATGGCTGCTATCCACTGAGAGGCCCAAGGCCCTGACACTGCCTCACGGTACGTGCGAGGAGTCGGTATGTCAAGGGCGTCGGGGTCTCCCTCAGGGGCTAGCAGCATGGCACAGAGATGAGGGGAAGCGGCTGCCAGGAACTCTAGCTCAAACTGTCTGTCCTCTAGGACATCACAGCCAAGGGCACACTCACCCCCGACGGGCAGAGGAGGGGAAGGCACCACTCGGGTGGCGTAGTCAAGGCGGCGGGTGGCGGCAAAGTCAGCGACAGCAACAGTAAGAGCCGAGATAGATGACGGAGAGGCACGAGGGTCCGTGACTAGAGAGGTGAGAACACGAGTGACAACTGGACGGGTGGCACGATAGTAGTCAGAGATAGGGGTAGAGGTGGAGGCTGTAAGAGACGACTCAGGAGGTGACAGGAGAACAGACTGAGGCAAAAAACGACGAGGACTCGAACGAAGTAAGACAGTGCAGAGGTCGTCAAGGGGAGACGAGGGACGTGCACGGGTGGGACAACGAACTGTCCAGTCATGCGGGACAACAGGAGGAGACGACCGTGACCGAGGAGGAGGGAAAACAGCCGAAGACGAGTCCGGAGGAAGAAACAGGAGGAAACAGTGAACTGTCTGGAGGAGGGGAAGGAAGACCAAGGGCCCGAAGGCCATTCACAGGTGGAGGCAATGGCTGCAAGGGCAGCGATTTCTGCGGCTGCTGTGGCTCCTGCTGCTGCTGCTGCTGCTGCTGCTGCTGCTGCTGCTGCTGCTGCTGCTGCTGCTGCTGCTGCTGCTGCTGCTGCTGCTGCTGCTGCTGCTGCTGCTGCTGCTGCTGCTGCTGCTGCTGCTGCTGCTGCTGCTGCTGCTGCTGCTGCTGCTGCTGCTGCTGCTGCTGCTGCTGCTGCTGCTGCTGCTGCTGCTGCTGCTGCTGCTGCTGCTGCTGCTGCTGCTGCTGCTGCGGCTGCTGCGGCGGCGGCTGCTGCTGCTGCTGCTGCTGCTGCTGCTGCTGCTGCTGCTGCTGCTGCTGCTGCTGCTGCTGCTGCTGCTGCTGTTGTTGCTGCCGCTGCTACTGCTGCTCCTGCTCCTGCCGCTGCAGCTCGTGCTGCTGCCGCTCCAGCCCTAGCCTCCCCTACTCCAAGCGCTCCCACTCCTCGCGCTCCAGCTGACGAAGCCTCTGGAAACTCGTCGGGTAGCGGTGGGGAGGTGGGTAGGCGCCGCAGCAGTAGTGCCTCCAGCTCCAGCACCCCCAGAATTAGTGTCCACAACACGAGCACCCCCTGAACTAGCACCTCTAGTGTTAGTACCCTCAGCCCCAGCGCCAACGCCCTCAGCTCCAGCACCCAGCGCCAGTGCTCGTGCCCCCAACACCAACACCCCCGGTGTCGACCGCGACCTGTCGCGGTAGAGTCGAAGGCAGTCGTGGTGACTGTGAAGGCGTCTGTGGCGAAGGAGACGGTACCTGAAATGCTACCGAGGGGAGAGGGGTGACGTGCGACACACCTGACGGGACAGGACCAGGGGGTGACGGGTGTAGTGGAGGAGCGGGAGCAGGAGAAGAGGTGAGGAAAAGGGGAGGGGGGGAACCGGGAGACCTCGACAGGTGTATCGGGTGTAATAGGGCACAGAGTCGTTAAACCGGACTTCCCGAGAGTCAAAGAATCGGTGGAGGGGCGGGTGGTAAAAGGTGTAGTCAGAGGAGTCCACCAGGACCAAGGAAGATATAGGGGAGGGCACGAGCCGAGAGCTTGTCAGTAGAAGTGTCGCTGACAAGCGCAAGGCAGCACCAGACACGAAACTCCAATGCAACGCCAGAAGACCTGGTCCAAAGACTGGTCGGTGAAGCCTCTGGCTGGGAGACACCAGGCCAGAGGTTCAGCTGATGGGCGGCGTAGCGAACCGCGTCGGGTCACAGAAAATGGGGCGCGCGGGCGTGGATCATGGAGGTGCGGGCAATCTCCATGACCAAGCCTATGCGACGCTCAGCAACCCCATTCTGCTGTGGGGACTTTGGAAGCGTCCAGGACTGAGTGATGCCCTGCTCGCGACAAAATCCGGCAAGAATGCCGGAGTGAAACTCGCCGCCACGGTTGGAGTGAAGTCAACTAACACAACGGCCACGAGTGCCCTCAGTGGCCAGCAACCACCGGATCAGCGTAGAATTCTTGTCAGACTTCTTCGCCAGGGGGAACACGATGGTGTACCGGGAGTAGTCGTCAACTACCACCAAAAAGAAGCTCTCCCTCTCGGGCCCAGGGCAGGAGGCGGGGCCCCAGACGTCCAAGTGGAGAGTCTCGAACGGTTCGGTGTCCGGACGAAGGGAGGAGTGAGGGGTGGCGCGCAGCCGACCCTCGACACAAGGAGTGCAAGGCGGCGCAGGCGAGGAGGGAGCGACAGAAAGACACGCGGGAGACCTGAGACAAGACGCTGGCTAGCCATGCTGCGGAGGCGTGGGAGGGACGGGTGACCAAGACGGTGGTGCCACAGGACTGTGGGGTGGGCTAGCAACCGGCACGTGCACGACGCGGCAGCCTGACCAGACGCAGCTACCTGGCAAGACGCAGCTACCTGTGGAGGGCTGGTGTGCAGCGTGAAAAGGCCGGAGCCCTGCTCCCGACGAAACTTGGCCAGTGGAGCGTAAGTGTCACCGTCCACGCAGGTCACAACCCGCTCAAAAGGAGGAAACTAGACGCCGACGTGACGGTCCTGAAGGTATCCAACACCCACCAAGTTCCGAGAGAACGAGGGGATGTGGACACTAGAGGGGACAACCGGGCACGAGAGAGTAGTGGTGCTGCGAGCAACTGCTGGTCCTGAAGTAGGATCAGCCAGTGCAACTGAAACTGGAGCAGAAAGCGGAGTGAGATACGTGTGGTCACGGAAGAAACACTGAGACGCGCTAGAGTCCAGCGTGAAAGAGAGTGACGCCTCAGCCGTAGAAGGACCTGGGCTAGTAACTACACAAGCACCTAAACTAGAAGCACAAGCACCTACACTAGCAGCAGGCAAGGATCCTAGACCACGAACACGCGAACAAACAGATCCAGTAGCACTATAGTCAACAACAGCATACATCGCAGAATCTAAGAAGCTAAGCAAGTAAGTTAGGTAGGAGTATGATGTTACTAGGAAGCATGGGGTACAAGTAGTGAGGGTCGAGAGAAATCGTGTACCCTCTAAAAACTACCTCACTGCAGCCTATCTAAATGATATAAACATTTGACAATAAACCCCTCGGCTGTGTTCTGCTGTGATTGCCTCCGCGAGAGGTCCTTTAGGGCGGGGTCAGCGCGTTCGTTTGCAGTTTCATTTAAGTTCCTTCTGAGAGGCTAGTCTCGTTTTGTCACGTTTATAACGGTTCATTCTAAAAACCGCTCTAAACCAGTTGCAATCCTTTTGCGCCACAACGGATGAACTGTACAACTAGGAACTGTACTTTTACGTCGGTAGGGTTGCATAGCGTTGCACTTCTCGTATGAGACATTATGATGGAACATATTATATTGTAACTAGAATGAACAAGCTTGCTATATCCATATTAGTACAAACGATTAATTACGGTATGTGCATTGTTTCTTACATTGATGATATTGTTGCGATTGTAATATGCAATGCTATTTACCTCCATCCTATTCTACACAGCTACTATAGTAGATCGTTTCTTGCCTCTGCTTCGTCAGCATATCAGGTGCAACCTTGCATGGAGGATTTTTGGAGTGCACTGAACCACGTGACACTCTCTTCTTCATTATTAGTTATCTGCTACTGTAATTTTACGAGCTTGTGTTCAGTCTTGTTTATCGCAAACCCAATCAAATTCACAAGCGAAATCATTGCACATGATTTTGGATATTTTGTTTGGTTCTGCTGCAACATTCCCATTTTATCAACATCAACCAGCCAACTAAACGGCTTCACGATACAATCACGTTACCAATGTGAACATCAGATCTCTCCAAAACATGATGCGCCCTTCTAACGATTTAACTTTGTATTCGTTCCTTCCACATGAGTCAACTTTGGTGCTGTTCTACTGGAGTTATCATCTCCGCACCGTTGGTGGTTTGGTAAATTTCGCATTAACTTCAGGTTGACTTGGCAACACAAGAAAGTTCGAATTTAACCAAGCTGAATTTCTCGTTTTCAACAGCTCATCCAAAATCGGGTCTGCCCTTTTGAACACGGAAACCCGAAACGAGAACCGAGGGTAGCTCTTCCCCACTTCGTACCTCCTCCCACATTGGTTCCTTGAAGTTGACTCGTATATCTTCAGCTGCAAGAACATGAGAAAAAAATCTTGAAATTTGAACTCGGTCGATGGTTGGGTGTTCAAGCTTACCGTGCGCAAATAGATGGGCTGATTGTTCCTGCCCCGTTGTCAGTGTTGCGGAGGTGATTCTACCTCGAGAGGTAGAACCAATGATGCGGACCGATTACCAGGCAAGGAAATGGCGTAGAACAAACGGGCGGTTATGGTACAGTGTCACAAGAATGCTGTTCTGCATTTTTTCTCGGTTAAGTTGATGCGCCCAGCTTTGGACTTTGCCCAACCTGAACCGACGGTTCACTAATGCGGATGGAGGATTCCGCGAATGGCAGTTTTTGGCCGTGGTGCGCCAAAAGAACAGCGCCTTTGTATTTGACGCTCATCTCTTCTTGGTTCTTGGTCGTTCGTAGGTTCTTGTTCTTGGTTCTTGTTCTTGGTTCTTGTTCTTGGTTCCTGTTCTTGGTTCTTCTTCTTGGTTCCTGTTCTTGGTTCCTGTTCTTGGTTCTTCTTCTTGGTTCCTGTTCTTGGTTCCTGTTCTTGGTTCCTGTTCTTGGTTCTTGTTTTTGGTTCTTGTTCTTAGTTCCTATTCTTGGTTACTGTTCTTGGTTCTTGTTCTTGGTTCTTGTTCTTGGTTCTTGTTCTTGGTTCATGTTCTTGGTTCTTGTTCTTGGTTCCTGTTCTTGGTTCTTGTTCTTGGTTCTTGTTCTTGGTTCTTGTTATTGGTTCTTGTTCTTGGTTCTTGTTCTTGGTTCTTCTTCTTGGTTCTTGCTCTTGGTTCTTGTTCTTCGTTCTTGTTCTAATATGATTTCTGCCGTTGCAACTACCGACCATACTAGCTATCCCGTTTCACTCACACCCCGCCGTCACCTCTCCTCCCGTCCCACTGTATCCTCTCCCTCACTCCCCGCCATCTCCTCTCCCTCCCTTCCAGCCGCCGTCGCCGCTCCTTCCCATCCCGCATCGCCCTCTCCCTCCCACCCCGTCATAGCCTCTCCCTTCCTCCTCGCCGTCGCCTCTCCCTCGCTTCCCGCGCTGTCGCCTCTGGTGGGTGCACGAGCGTGAGCGCAGGTTGCTGCATGCCTGCGCGCTTCTTTCTGAGGCACCATTGTCTCAGGTGCTTTTCCGTTTGCCGGACCTTTTTTCCCCCTCCTCCCGCCGACGTTTCCTATGTTTTTTACTTTCTTCGTGATGGCTATGTGCCGATTGGTCTCCTCTTAGTGAGGGAGCGTGAGGGAGAGTGTGCGCACAGGAAAAAGCACGTAGGAAGGCGCTGGCGCCTAGCGCGCTGGCGCCTCCGCCAAGTGCGCTGGCGCCTAACGCGCTGGTGCCTAATTCGCTGGCGCCAAGTGCGCTGGCGCTTAAGGCGCTGGCGCTTAAAGCGCCGGCACCAAATGCGCTGGCGCCTAACGTCGTGGCGCCGAGTGCGCTGGCGCCTAGCGCGCTGGCGCCTAACATGCTGGCGCCAAGTGCGCTAGCGCGTAAGGCGCTGGCGCTTGCTGCGCTGGTGCCTAACGCGCTGGCGCCAAGTGCGCTGGCGCCTAGTGTGCTGGCGCCTAAGGCGCTGGCGCCAGGTGCGCTGGCGCCTGACGCACTGGCGCCAAACGCGCTGGCGCCTAACGTGCTGGCGCCAAGTGCGTTGTCGCCTAAGGCGCTGGAGCCTAAAGTCATGGCGCCAAGTGTGCTGGTGCCTAGCACGCTGGTGCCTAAGGTGTTTGCTCCGTTGTGTTTTTGGTGCCAATACCTCTCCATTATTATTTCTGCTCTCTTTCTTTTAGGTGATGCATTCCCTGCATGTTGAGATGGTGTGCGTGATGCCTTCAAACCACGTGTGTGAGTCGTCCAATTGGGTTTGCCTTATTTCATCCTTTTCAATATATTGCATCCGTTTGAAAACTTCCCATCATGCGTTTCCGTTTCTAATGCAGTGTGTTGGCGTCTAGTTGCAGTGCGCTGGCGCCTTACATGATTCACTGGATTCACTTACAACAATACTTTTTTTGCGTGGGCTGTGTGTTTTGCAAGATGTGCCAGCCACATTGTGGGGATCAGAAAAAGGAATTGCAAGGGAAAAGATGTGGAAAAGCGTGGGGATAAAGTGTGAAGGGGGAAAGGGATAGGACAGGGGGGCAGGCTAGCATTGATTGTTGCATATTCAACTTTCTGCGATTCTTTGTTATCCTTGCTTGCTCTCTCATTGTATGTATGCGTGTGCATATACATGTGTCTGTGCATGTGTGTGTGTGTGTGTACAGTATGTATGTGGGTGTCCTTGTGTGTGTGCCAGTTGGTTGTGATTATTTCATGGTGTGGTGCTGGTACGCATCGTGTTTGCAGACGAGGTCGTCATTGTTGTTGGTGCAGTGTGTTTCACTGTCTCAACGACCCCACCAATCTCAGCTGCAGCACGATGCATATCAAGCATCCCATTCTGACATTTTTCACAACCTTGTTTCGTGATGTGTGCATTTCGTGTTTGTGAGATGTGTGTGTTTCAGGGCGAGCTGTTGCAATGCATCGTGTATGCAACTAGAGGTTGTCATCGTCTTTGGGGCAGCGTGTTTTCGCTGTTTCAACGACCACATCAATCTCTATTGCTATATTGATATATTCTAACATTTCTTGAAACATCTACATTACACTTCATACTGTGTTCATTCGTACAAGTGCATTCGCTCATGTTGATGCCATGTCCGATAGTACCATCCGCCGTATTAATCGACGATGCTGGGACGGTCGGAATAATTTCATGGTTTCAACATAATAATTGGTTTCACTTTTGGGATATCCCATTTAAGAGTGATTTTATTCAGGGTTTAGGGTTTCGGGTTTTAGGGTTTCAGGGGGAGGAGGAGGAGGAGGAGGAGGAGGAGGAGGAGGAGGAGGAGGAGGAGGAGGAGGAGGAGGAGGAGGAGGAGAAGGAGGAGGAGGAGGGGGCGATGGTGAGCGTGCGTTGGCAGCATGCGACGCACAGGCGCATGTGCATGTGTGCAGTGTCAGGTGCAGGCTCTCGCCCCCACTCTCCACACCTCGCCCCTGCACACCCTCAACCGCCTCGTTGCCGTCCTCTCATGCACTCACGACCTGCGCCTCCGCCTCGCACATCCCCGGCCTCATGCTGCGCCTCATGCTGCCCATCCCTCCCCTCCGCCCTCCTCGCCTCACCTCGCCTTGCCTCATCCGACGACGCTGCTGCGTCTGTGCAGCTGTGCAGCGTGGCAGGGGCGCCTCTCTGCTGCTGCGCCGCAGGTTTGTTAGGGGCGGTTCCAAGGGGGGCCGTGAGAGTCGTGTGAGGGGGGTCTCAAGGGGTGTCAGGGTGGGGAGCATGAGGGTGAGAGGAACAGGGGGTGTCCCATGCGTTTGTGCGTGCAGGTGGGCTGGACTGCAATGCGCTGCTACACACATGCCATAGCCTTCGCTGCTTGCTGCACCGCTCTGCACGGCGCTCTTCCAAGCCCTGTGCATCAGCGTTGTTCACATTCTCTTCCCGTGCCTCGCCCACTCATGCCATCTCTCTCCACCATTTTCTCTCTGCTTCTCCTCCTCTCTCCGCTTCTCTCCACTCTCCTCCTTCGTTTCTGTCTCGTTTCCTCTTCTACACCCTTCCGTGCTTTCCCATCTCTATCTCCCTCACCGCTTTCACAATCTGCAAACCCCGTCCTTCCCCCACGGGCCATACGCCACCGTGATCACATCCTCATCTTCTCCCTATCCCTCCGCCCCTTTGCCCTCCATCCCCGTGCCGCGCCCACAGAGGTCTGTGGGGCTGTGCGTCAGGAGGCCATCGCGCCATGCCATTGCATCCCTTGCATGTGCGCTCTACCCACCGCTGCCCCCCACTCCCTGCGCCCTCTCCCTCCTCCGCCCTCCATATCCCCCTGGCACCTCCCCCTTTTCTCCCTTCCCCACTCTCTACACGTCCCCTCTCCCCCGCCGTTTACCCGCGCGCCATTCCCAACGTGCGCACTGCTCCTGGCGCCCGTACAGAGCGCGACGCAGCGCAACTGCGGATCTCTCTCTGGGCCACCTCTCGCTGCGCACGCCGCCTCACCTGCTCGCGTCCATGCTCCTCGCCATGGCGTATGTGGTGCAGCAGCAGCACCCCATGCGCGCACCGTTGCCGCCGCTGCTGCCCTTCATACACATGCTCGCCACCCGCCCAGTGCCACCTCGCCTCCGCCCACCTCCACCGTGCCTGCCTCCAGGTGTCCTCGGCATGGGGTAGTGCAGGGGAAGGAAGGGAGGGGAGGGAAGGTTGGGAGCGGGAAAGGAGGAGACATGGGGTGACAAGGGGAGTATGAGATAAGCTAGAAAACCAGTCGCAGCAGAAGGTGCTGGTGTTGTGTGTCATTGCTGTTATAGTCACAGTAGGCTTCAATAGGCTTCAATGTGCCTAGAACCAAAGATAGAGTGCGCAGTCAGGTTTCTGCACAGCGGCTTTAAACGATCATAGCGATCTGCTCACAACTCCAATTGACCTCATTCAACTTGGATCTGGAGCGTCTTAACGTCGCCTACACTAGGCAATTTAGATCGCACGATTTCACCAAGAATTGAGGACACAGCGTCAGATTGAACGAGTGGCACTATGGCTTCAACATAGTCTTAGAAGACAATCACAAACAACTAGGAAGAGTTACGAGTTGGGAAGGACTCCCAGCTCCTACAAACCCCAAGAGCCGAGGTACAGTGATGGGGAACAGTGCCACACTGTCCCCAACCAAGAAGGGTCTCGAAACTACCCTCCACAAGGGCCTACACCCATAGAAATGTTACACTACACATTGTAATGTAACTATCTTCAATATCTTGAGGTGTAGCCTTTTGGCGAGCTTCGAAAACACTTGAAGCTTGAAACCAAGGCTCGGGTTATTCATCACAAACTCAACCTTGAATTCTCGATGGGTCTGCTGCACACACCTGCGACACGCCGAACGTTCGACAATCGACAAAATAGAAACCGCGCACGACAAAATAGAAACCGCGCGGGACACACAAAATGACCGCGTTAACACGCGGCTAGCGATAACTCGCTATAGACTCGACACACACACACTCGATACATGACCCATCATACACACACCATTGTAAGCATGGAATAATATTTATTTCATGCACTCATACCATTCCATGCACACACGCATGCACGCACACGCACACGGACAACAAGCCGAGTGCAAACCGTAGGTTGCACCAACAATTGCACGCGAGCAGTACAGCACACCGTGCTTGACTTGACTCGAAGATCCTGTGAGTTCCAGCAACCACTCCCCTTGCTCTCTGCTCCCTGCCCTTCCCGCTCCCACCTCCCCCATGCTCAATGCCCCATGCTCCATCCCCCCTGCCCCGTTCTCCATGCCACATGCCCCATGCTTGATGGCCTATGCCCCATGCTCCATTCCGCACGCTCCATTCTGAACGCTCCATTCTGCACGCTCCATTCAGCACGCTTCATTCAACACGCTCCATTCTGCACGCTCCATTCTGTATGCCCCATGCCCTGTTCCCCATGCTCCATGCCCCATGCCCTCTCATCCCACCCCTGCCCCGCTGTCGCGCCTGGTGATGTGCTGTGTGCGTGTGCAGCGAATGCAGGTGGCAGTGGAGCTGCCGGGAACCATGGTCAAACGCGTCACCTCATGTGTTTTGAGTCGACTCAAAACACACCTGCTGTGTGCGTGTGCAGCGAGTGCAGGTGGCAGTGAAGCTAAATCGAGCCCCATTTTGAGGCCATGGTTCAATACGTGGCAGCAATTTACTTGTGTATGACACCAAAGTAGGTGAAAATGCGTTTGCGTAGGGAAAGCTTGTGTAAAGGTTGATGGTAACCGGTATCGGCGTTTGACGCCTTCTTTAGACCACAAGCAAGTCTACGTGGAAAGGCACCTCTTATACCGTCAGGCCCCGGATAAGCCCCCATAGGGTGGGCTTATAATCGAGTAAATTTAAAAGCGCCGGGGCTTATGTAATAACATTTATGATTTTTTTTTTCATCAAAGTGTTCATCTTGTTCTTGCGACTTGAATTGAGTCGAAATTTTAGAGGGCTGTGAATGAGAATCTCGCGTAAGTTGGCAGGGAACGATTCCCTGCCATATCACACGGTCAGGAATGAGTCATGATTTCCCCGTGACAGGTCATTCTGGCTAGACGCGCACGAGATGAGTTGCGCAAGGGTGAAGTGCATCGAAATTGTAAATGTTGGGATGCAAAATGTGTGTTTCGTTACATATGTCCCATTTAAAATATAAAAAGATAAAACAGACAGTAGTGCTTATAGTCTGTAAGCCGTTAGGGGTGCGCTTATAATCGAGGACCGGATTAACCATTTTCTCCCGGATATAAGACCCGGGGGACTTTCCTAAAATAGAGGCAAAAAGTCTAAGGTGAACATTTAATTGGCACGAATTGTAAGAGTACTGGGTACATTTATTAATCAAGTACACTTATGCGATTTAGGGGTGTACACTTGAATTTGAAGGGGGGGTGGGGGGAGGGGGGTCTTATGTTCGAATTGAAAAAATCTCGCATGCGCGAAATTCGCACGAGCGGCAAGTCAGAAGCGTGAGATCTTGTATCCGATATGATTGGTGTGTCTGAACCCGATTTTGACACAAGTGACGCGTCAAATTTCGAATTCTGTGCCCCTAAAAGCTAACGCGCATATTCACTTTTAACTACTGTATACAGAAAGGGGGGGGCTTAAAATGTTTTATAGCAAAAGGGGGGTCCTCTCACATTTCATACATATTAAAAGTCCCAGACCTGAACACAAGTCCCGAGGGTCCTTTTTTCGGAAGGG